TCCGGAGGATTTGGTAAAGCCGGGACACAGGTCCTCCGCAGGCTGCGGAGTTAGTTGTCCAGGAAGGGCTAATGAGAGTCCGTGGCGGGGAGCAGCGCTGCGTTGGCAGGGAGCAGCAGATTTCACCCGCTCCTCCTTTGGGAGATACACCCTACTCGCATCTCTGCCTGCATACCTGGCATAGGTAGTCTTTTTTATTATTTACATCTACCGTACTGAAAATAGCAAAACAAACCCATGGTAAATTCACAAAGAACACAGACATTAGCCATTACCACATGCCAGTATTACTTGCTAATTACTCAAGGCATACCAAAGGACTTTTTACAACACAGCCGTCCTCCAGCCAACAGCACGGACGCCAATTGTTTCACCGCTCGCTCCCCATCACCTGCTGCAGCACTTTGTTCTCTCTTTCGCATTAAACCGCCTCTAGAAGAGCCAGTCTCCAAGGAAAACACCATACTAGCACATGCACAAAAGCACTAAGGCTGACGAAAAAGAAACGATTGGGCTGTGCGATCCAGGTTGTCTTAAGATGAGCTCTAAAAATAATAGTAATAAAACGGTTTCAGGAAGACTCTTCTTTTGCTGATATGACTCAGACTTGCCCCTCCCCAGGGTGTCAGTCCATATCGCGTTGACTCTGGGAGTCCAGCAAAGGCCCGGAGGCCGTTACTACAATAGAGCCCCCCCCTCGCAAAAATTGAGGACTTTTTTTTTTTTTTTTTCCCCTCTTAGCTTTTAGGAATATCCTGATTAGTCTGGGTACTACTTACCCAGGAAGTTCACAGGAGCATCAGGCATTATATTTCTGTAAGTAAATATTTATAAACGTAATTGAATAGTTTCTTTAGAGATGGGATCAGGTTCCCAAGATGGACATTTGCTGCACTCGTGATCCTCCTACTGCAGAACAGTAGAATTCCCCAGAACGGAGCTTTGTGGTGACAAAGACTCACCAAAAGGATCATCCAATATCAGGGTGCAGGCATTACTTTTAAAATCACAGTGGGCATAGCAGGAGGCCTGATTAAGACAAAATTAATAAGACATTAAGGCAAATTAATATCCCTGAAGCAGCAGTAGAGATCGCCATCCCCAAATCTCAGCACTTCCTTTTTTGCCAGTCCAAGGGAAAAACTTCAAGTCAGTACCAGCAACGAGGATTTATTTTGCCACTATAATTATTTCAGTGTACACACCTACACTGAAAAAGAGCTTTAAGATTAAAGAATAATTGATGCAACTGCAAAGTCGCAGCCTTCACTAGTGAAAAGGACGTTCTACTTTGGTATCAATTTTAAGGATGTCCATTATAAAAACCAAGCCAGTTGCTTATTAAATAGTCCAGCTACCATTGCCTGTATATTTTGCCTCTCCTCCCTACCTGACTATAGATTTTTGATGCCTAATTCATCAGTAACAGACTGTAAGTGGTGTTAAAGAGTTTGTTTGCCTTTTAGATCTCACATACAGCTTCCTGTGATCTTAAAGCAGATGTCTGTTGCGATGGTGCCTGCTTTTAACCTGCCCAGAGAAAGGCAAACTCTGAGGTTTAGCTATTTCAACCTCAGGAAAAGCTGGAGGGTCACCACATTTATTAAAGCTACCGAGTTGCATTCAGCACAATTTAGAGTGCACCATTTTGCACTGGAGCTGCGGTGGCTGCTAACTCCTCTCCAGCTTCCTTTGCATTTTTAAACGCATCTCTGAGGGTTTGTCTTTGCCCTGACTTAGCTTTTGCTAGACGCCCACATTTCAGCCTCCCATCAGCTGTAACTTTAGTCTGTTCTTTTGCCAGCAAGAGGCACAATTTGTTCCAGTGACCTTCATCCTAAACTCTTCCCTAAACTCTGCAGCTCTGCTCTATTCATACAAACTCCCCCATATATAAGCTACTGGTTTGTGTTCCGTTTTCTATAAACTACGAAGTTTCCAGAATAAACACTGTATGATTTAAGAAAAAATCCCAACAAAATACCTAAGGACAGAGGTAACTATAATTCCTTTTGCTCACGATCAACTGCAAGACAAATTAAACTGCTTTACTATGATGTGCAAAGTTTAGTGATTGTTTTATTAATGCAGAAATACCTGCTTAACTTCATACCCATTCTGATTTAAAGTGCAACAATTAAATCTGATAGCTCTTGTACATCCAGATTTTGCAAGTGCTGTTCCTAGAAGACGTCATTCAGATTATGCCTTGCATTTGTAAAATCTGTCATTTTTTAGTACCGATGTGCTTTATTAACTAAAATAAACTGTACAAAAAGCTGTAGAGTTACATTAGCTTTGAACAATGTAGGATACACGTTCTCTGCCAAACTTCAGTGTGCAAACATTTTACATTTTTTAAAGTGACAAAATTAAGCCAACCTTGAAGTCAGAGTTCGTTACTACATTACAAAACAGGAGACTAGATATGGCAAAAGAAATTCCCCACTGAAATCAACACCATTGTATAATTTTATTTCTAATTCTTAAAAAAATATAAATGAATTTAGAAGAGAATCACAGTATAAGGGCCCTAACATATTAGACCATTACAAGGTACATAAAAATAGAAGACACAGATTTCTTTGAAACTTTAATCCTTTGATTAAGCAGCAAGCATATCACTCTCCAGGCAAACACTGCTTAAAACAAACCCTACCCCCCAAAACAGGACGTGCAAACTGTATGCACATATTCTGCAAAGCACACAATAAAGACATTTTGCTATGTACATACTTAGTACTACAAATGCTAGGAGTTCCCTACTGTGTGCTACAGTGTATGTAAATTAAGAAATACTACCCATCTCTGACCCTCCCTCCCCCCTTCAAATACAGCACCTTTGCCCAGTTATAGAATATTTAAACAAGATTAAACGGAATTACAATGTACTGAACAGTTTTACAGCAGTTGGTGGTGGCCAACTGTACTGCAACACCCAACATTCTGCATACTGAAGTCTATTGACAAGAGACAAGACAAAAATTAGCAAAGGTACAATACACACACCTGGGAGACTCAATGTTAAAAAAAAAAAAAGAAAAAGAAAAAAAAATCCTGAAGATGTATCTTATCACTGTTAACAATTAAACTGAGATACTTAGGATGTCAAAATGTACCAGATTGGTTTCATATCAGTTTTAAAGTCTGGAAAGCAGCCAGATTTGTGTGTAGCTGGTGAGGGGACACTTATGACTCCCAGAACACAAGTTTCAGTGACCACAAACTCCTCAGTGCTTGCTTTACAATGCCGCTTTTCTTAGACGAGGTCATCTGATGCGCACAGAGTGGCTAAGAATCTACCCCGATTCAAAAGAAAATTTCTAAGGAGGACCTTTTGTACAAGACCTCAGCACACCAGGGAAAGCTGTTTGGAAAGGAAAATCTCTCAAGTTTGATCTGAAAATATTTTAAAATTAAAAACTAAACCATAAAGGTCAACACCTTTACGGCAATTCAGGCCACAACTATCAAACTTTAATACTAGATTTACAAATGAAACAGGATCTGATGCTGTAAGAACTTCCCTTTGCACATAAAAAAGACCTTAGCCAGCTCCTAAACTGATTGTTAGACCATCCAATTTATCTGTGAAAAAGCCTAGGGAGAGCACATTCCATTTTCAAATAGTCTCATTTTAGTCAAGGGCAAATCTAGTTAATAACAGAATGGATTTAAAAGGATTTTCAAACACCATTTCAGCTATAAGCAAAACTGATTTTCTAAATAGTATGGCAGTTGACATGAATGTTATTACATAGTCAAGAATGCAATATTTTTTGATAGCTTGATTCAGGTCACACAGTTTCAAACAGTGCTACTCAAATTCGCAGCCTGGTTTACTTGGAGAGTAGAGGCATCTACTTTTTAAAATAATAATTAAAAAAAACCCCCAAACAAACCCCACTAACCTGTCCCACTCCCCAAACACTGCTGGGCATAAATCAAGGTTTCAGACAAGAATGCAGTGGAAAGAAAACTTTTCAATCTCCTACAATTTGGAAGCAATTTTTAATACCAAAATGTAGATTTTACTTATTCAATAAAACAAATTAAAAACCACCCCACCCACCCCCAATAGCCTCAACCCAGCTAATAAACTTTGCCAGAAATCAGAGATAATCATTTAACAGCAAGACTGGCAGCAGGTAACTCCACTGCCACAATATTCTATTACCACCATCAGCCTTTGTATTTCCCTCATGAATTCTTCGGCAAGGTATCAATGATCTAACATACACAAACTGGACACAGCCATTCTCAGAGGAATGAAATTCTACTGTACTTAAATTAGAAGAATTAGTGGAATAACAAATTAAGTTAATGGTTCTTGCTATATGGTTCCTCTCCTGTCATCTCCCTGGGTGGTAGAAGTTTCTCTCTCTCCACCTCAGCCCACACGAGATATTGCAGCAGGAAACTGGACTCCTGTTTTCAGTTAACTTCTATGAGTAGAACATGTGTGAGATTTACTAAGTTTGGTACAATAGCTCATTGAGTCTTCAGAATACTCTTTCAGAGGAGTATTTAATAAGACAGTACCTTTTTAAACAAGAAAAAGTGTTCTGGGAAAAACACGAAGAGAAGAAACACCTACATTTTACAAGTGCGTGAAATGCTTCTACTGTTATCTAAACAGGGCCAAAAATTCTGAATCTAAGGCCATTATTTATTTGCACTAAAAAGTAAAAAAAACAAAACAAAACAAAAACAAACCACAAAAAACCCAATAATAATTCACACACACAAAAACCCCAACGCTACATTTAAGTCTCCTACAATATTACCTATTCCTAGATTTGCCAGACTACTTTCCTGTAGTTAGATGCTTGACTACAAAGGACTGTAATAAAATAAATAGAGTAAAAATCAGTTAAACAAAATCTTGGTGTGTTGGACATTTATTCATTTAAGAAGTTAGCTTCCTTCAACAGTTATTCACATAGAGGAGGGCTGTATTGTAGGTCATGTTCTGCTGTACAAGTCTTCGACATAAAAATATTTTTATACAGGTGGTCATTCACGTGGTTCTGTTTCTAGTTATTGGCTTGCTCCTCTGTAAAACTGGTCTGATACCTGTGAAGGCTTGCTCTTTTCTCCCCTTCATTATTTGGAAAAAAAAAAAAAAAAAAAGTACATTGATACAATTTTTCAAATGTAGGAGTTAGCATAATTCTGCTTTATTTCTTCAGTGCAGAGTGGACTGAGATTCTGTCTGAATTCCAATAAGCGAGGGTGGCTGCTGGCCACTAACCGTGGTTAACACTGGCCTTGGGTTTAGACGAGGAGGCATGGAATTAGCTGGGCGGATGAGCGGTGGGGGAGGCTGATTTAGAGTCGGCCTTGGCTGAATAAATCGCGCCTGCTGTTGAAGTGGTGGAGGCTGGCGATGGAGAGCAGGAGCAGCAGGAAGCGCCGGACGAAGTAACGGGGGCGGCTGATTTAAAGTTGCCATGGGAGCGGTAGGTGCTGGAGCAGATGCCTGTGCTGGAGGTGAAGGGCCTAAACACTGAGTGGCCGGAGTGCTTTGTGCCTGCACAAAGGACAAAGACAAGACTGCGTGAACAGCCATCCCGGCCAGAACGCGATGCAGTTGGGCTGCCACTGGCCACTACACAGGAAACAGCATTTAAAAAAACAAAACAAAAAAACTGAGAAGTTACTGAAAAGAAATCACCAACCAAAACATTATAGACAGCAGAACTAAAAATATTTATGAAGCAAGAGTCTTCTTCTAGAACAAGAACTGTATTTTAACAATAAAACAGTAACGTGATCATCACTACGAAAGGTGCAGTCCTGCTCCCAGCTGGTTAACGACATTGGCTGAAGTTCTATGCAAGCTCGTCATCATTCTTTAGAATGCAGTTTGCCACTCCACACCAGTTAACCTTACATTATATCACTAAATAAAATGCTGTTCCTCAACCCATGCTTACTTATTTCTGGTACACAAAACACACCTCATCTTCTTCATCAGTGCTCTTTCCTGATGGCACATTAGAAGTATTTTTTGTGTCCTCCCCTAAAGCAGAAGCATCACCATTAGAAGCCAGGGTTCCTTGTTCCGCTTCCCATTCCTGCAATACCTCCTCTAAGTTAAACCGACGCCTGTAGTTTACAAAGAAGTTCTTCACTTGGCCAACAGTCTTGTTGCCAATTACATCTGCAATAGCTTGAAAATCTTTACCATATTTTCGGACACCTGGAAGGCAAAGTAAATAACATAGCTGTGAAGAATCAGTCAGACACAGCTACGTGTGATGTATTTATAGAGAGAACCTATGGGACCTGCAAACCAAGGACTCACTAATTAGGAGGACTTCTCAATTAGGAGGCGGCCTCAATTTCCATTAAAACAAAATAATTTTTAATTGCACAGCTATCAACATACAAATCAAGAACTTTATTAAAAGATCATTACCCACTCTTCTTAAATATCCTGGCTTACTCGCCAAGCCTCCCAACCTAAAACCACGGAGATCTGGCCTCTGACAAATAAAGTAAATCCCTCAGTGTGCTTGCAGTAAGGGCAGAAGCCCAAGACAAGTTCAGGATGGGAGAGGGAGGGTGACCGAGCATGCGTGTATAGCTGTAAACAGGGTATAACACTAGAAACATTGAGTGACAAACATTGACAGCTTCTACAGGTTCCCTCTGTGCCAGCTGCAGGCGGATGTTTCTTTGCCCACAACCTGTGCAGCAGGAGTGGTAGAGGGCAGTAGCTACTGGACCGAGCACAGGACAGAACAGGGGGGCACATTTCCATAAATCACGATATACTGCTCATCCCTGTGCTTGTGACATGCTCTACTGAGGCTACAAGGAGCAACTGGCAAGCATTCACCTGACAGAGTCTTTTTAAAGCTTTTGTCCACCATTTGAGCTGGGTAGAAGAATATGGGGGTTTGGGGCAACCACCTTGGGGCATGTAAGTAAAAATAAGCTACTGGTGTCTGGTTATAATACAGCCCAGCCCAAGCCTCCAGGATCAAATTCTCCAGCAAGAAGCAGCATGAGAGAAGATCTTTGCCTTGTTCTTTTCATTCATTTTCATATCAACATCACTTTTGTTTACAAGCACTTCACAAGAAAATCCCAACATGCACTTTTTAAAGTTCTAAAACTACATTTGCATATAACACAATAAAAGCATTGAGTACAATGCTCCGTATTTTTTAACCTAAAATTGGAATTATAACTCAAAGTTTATTGATTTTCTCTCAGTTGTATTTTGGGTATATGTCTAGTTCTTCCTCCCTCCTGCTTAAGAAAAAAATTCTCAAACTCTCCGGCATCCTAGAACACAGCTGGTAGCTGCACAAAGTGTATTTTTAATCACCAGTGTCCAAAAGTTTGGAGACTAAAAGAAATAAAATAGAATTTTATTCCAGATTGAGTAAACAGGAGACTGATTTTTTACTCTCAGCTATGCATGCGTGAATTACAATTTGACTTCTGTGAAGCTCCTGATAACTAAACTAATTCAGAACATATGACAGTGCTTAGAGGACAGGCACTTTGTCTCATTAGAAGAAAAGAAATTTATGCCTGATTGCATGCCTCACTTCAAAAAGTGAAGCAAAGGATTCAGAAAGTGAGAGTTGTTTCAAATCTGAAAGCTATGTTTCTTTTCAACTTAATTGTGAAGAGTATGACCTTCAGAATGTTCTGCTCTTTCTACTTTCTTCATTAATAGGCACTTCTGATGTGGTAACATACACTCACTGCAATTTAAGAGAAAAGTTCAGCTCCAGGATAGTAACAATTTCTGTAGCTGAAGCTGATGTTTCAACTGTCAAGAGCCCAGCTACATTATTTAAGATCTTTTCTGGGGCACACAAAAGAATCCAACCATCCTGACTGCAAGAACCTTGGAAAGAAAACAAAGGGACCTAGCAGAGCCATGTGGGAGAGCATGCATCTAGGCAAAGACAGGGATTTGGCTCTGCGCTTTATCAGTTGTATGAGGTATCAGCTATACTCCTTAAAAGCTGTGTGCGCCCACACAGCACTCCCTCCAGTGCTTTAATATTCTCTGATTACCCTACCATTACCATCCTTACTAATTTATAATGATCATTAAGTGTCCACCGAAACATATCTAACACCCTGTACAATTAATCAAGTGAACAAAGTGCCCAGCAGAACAAAGCACATTCTTATTTGAAACCTAATACAGACTTCCAGTGATTTCAGCCTTTTCTGTTACTATGCTGTCTATACTTCTTCCTTCCCCTTACTCTGCAAAACAACCGAGCCTGTTGGCTAACTTCAACTAAAGTTGTCACAGATAAGGTCTTTAAGCCAATTTCCAAGCAAACAGCTTGAAAACAGTGCATTTTGCCTTCACTAGAAGAAATATCTAAAGAAAATAAAATTTCCTTAGTTTAGCTAGGAGCACTACTCATTTTGGATTCCTTTCAGAGTGTTATTTAGTACTGCTCTAGCATCACCACAATGACTTCTACACAGTGATGTAGTAAATTCCTTTTAAGCTGCATCAGAAACAGAGGAAGTTCAATACATGTTTATGAAAGTTTATGCATAAGGTGCTGGCTTATCTGTAAGAGTTGATGCCAACCCATCATCCCTTTCAAATTGGTGCACATTACTTACACATCCTTATACAAATTCTGTGCTAAACATCACCCAATTATTTCTAAAGTGTTTAATCTGTTATTCACTAAGAATAATTTTATTAGGTTGCTGAAAGTGAAGCTCAAAAAAGATGACTGCATACCCTCACTTCACATGAATGACTGTCTTTCCCCCGACTCATTTGAAAGTAGCCCTTGTCATGGTAATCCTTCAAGCTCTTAAAAACTGCCCAGTTGCAAAGGTGCACTTGAACACGTGGATGCTCACTGTTACAATCTTGAATGTCTAACTCAGAGAAACTCATAAATCTAAGTCTGATGCTGTCTACGCTGCCTAACGTTGTGCAGCTCAGCAAACAGCAAGGCACACAAAGCATTAGCCTGGGTCCAAAGCAATATAATACAGCTCCACAACGAGGCAGAAATAGTTAATGGCAACCTCTGGGTTACGACAGCTGCAGTTTCACTGTGATGGGATGACAGTGCTCTTGGCAACTACCTTACATAGAGTTACATCCCAGTTGTCCCAACTGCTGTGGAAGTCATGCACTGCTTTTCAATTCAAATTTTGTTGTTTTGAACAAGTTTTAAACCATTTTTGCAACTGCAATTTTCATATGGCCGAGATCTTAGTTTGAAAAGATGATCCTGCCTATACATTTCTATACATAAAGTCTGTAACTTAAGAACACCTTAAGCCATGAAGTTGCCCGTTACATTCAATAACTATTCAGACAAAATTGAACAGTAACCTGATAAATTATACTGCAAAAGACTGAGTCAGAGATATAAGTCTGAGTTCACAACCCCACTGGAAGCAGCAACACTGCTTTTAAGATTACACACTCAGCTCTATTTTAAGGTGGGTTTTTTCATTGCCTCCTCTTTAGTTACAGCCAGTCTCTTGAGAGTAGCCCACAGATGAGAAGAGTTTTTTTGTGTTTAGGAAAAACAGTACCAAAATTACATTACTGCAGATTATTTTTATGATTTCTGTGGTTGGATTTAATGCCTGAATTCAAGTGAACAAAACACAGAAGTGCAACCTACCTGCTTAATGCTTATGGATTTCTGTAAAATTATTAAAAGCACATGCCAAAATGTATCAATACATTTGATGAAATAAATCTATTTTAAATGTACAAACTGAATGTCCCCATGGTCAAGTCAACTTCCAAGTTCAAGCCTAACACACATCATGGCTTTTAGTACAGCAACCATGGCTACCTTCTTCTAAAAAAAAAAAAAAAAAAGAGTCAGGGCAAAAGATGGCATGGCTCCTTCTTGCATAAGTCTACTAGCTCAAGCAAGTATTTTGAAGCAAGAGATCAGTGTTCTTAGCCTGACGGACAGGGGTTAATACCTACAGCACTCTCATTCAAGGAGGGAGACTCTACTACCGGGCAGTAGGTAAGGGAGGGATAAGAATAATATTTTGTTCCTGGTGTTAAGGTTCTCTTCCCATCTCCATTTATACAGTGGTAAAAGAAGAGGACTAAAAAGGAAACAATACATACAAGCAGCACATGTAAATTCAGTGAAAACAGGTTTCTTTCAGAAGGCCTGATTTCTCACCCCACTCTTAAGTATTGAGGCTGACTACCTTTATAAAACATGAAACATTCCCTAGAGAAGAGACCAGAAGACTAGAACTCCTCTCCGGGGAGTCATCGCCAACCCTCATTCTCTTTTGCCTGTGCTCCAGTTCTATTATTTACCTTGTCAGTCACACACTGCCATAGCTTAACAAAAGCTAAACACATTCTTATTGCTCCCCAAACTGATGCTTAGTGAGAGTTCTGATAACTAAACTATGAAAATGCAAGATGGTCTGAATTATTTCATGCTAAGGCAGGTACAACGAACCTGGATTTTCCCCACTTCTCCAGCAAGCATTCTACTTACTGGACTATCATATTAAAGATAGGCATCTCCTTCAGTTGCATTTGGGAACAAAATTAAAAAGTGAGCTTTCTAGCAATACTGAGCTGATGACCTTAGGACAGAAAACTGTTTGGAAATGCAAATCCCAGTCTGAGGCATGTAAGTTGAGAGGCATGACTTCAGACACACCATGCTCTTCAGCATTTCCATTCACGCTTCAAAATAAGCCTAACTTGAGGTTCAGTCATCTGGCTAATAACTACCAGGTATGGCACACCTGACAATTTTACACCGATATTCCGATCCAACTGAAGGTTTTATACTAAAATTCAGCCTTTCATTTTAAGGGTGAAGAATACAGAGAAATAAAGCAGATGTGTATAACTAAGCTGATTATATTATCTTAGAAAAGATGATCCATAGAAGCGAGTCAATATATAGTGTCTCCAAGACAGCATTAGTCTGTCCAGGTATTTCCCTTGCATGTTCCTTGATTAGGCAGTGCATGTTAAAGGAAGACAAGAGTCAGTTTTCCTTCATATAAATGAAATAACTGAAAATCAGCTGTATCAATAGCCTAGTAGAAAATGTTGGGTTTTTCTCCAATAAGACTGTTAGTCAAGTATCCATATCCAGCTTCAGACTCTTAAAAGGTCTCCACTGGGTAGATACTTTTCTCTGTTCATGAGGGAATAAAAGAGCAGGTAACTGTAAAGACGTTTTACTTCTGCTTTTTCCTACTTTAAGAATACAGAGAGATGTCTCAGTAAGTGTTTACTTCAAATTTTATTACTTCAACTATTCCTTCAGTCTTCCACTTTAGAGAAATTCATGTAAGGTGATTTAGAAGATGATTGAAGGGACCTTTTGGTACTACTACATTAGTTAAACCCAGCTTAGCTTTTCTATTCAAGATTTAATATGGGTAACTGAAAAGCTAGTGTCATGTTGCTTGAATGAATGCCCTAAATATTCTCACTAGTTTTTCTGTTTTCTCAGTGACTTTCTTGTAAGACCAGATAAAGTTTACCTTTTCATTAAAGGGAAAGACAAACATAAGCCTGAGTACCTCTTCAAATCCTTTGCATCAGATTTCAAGTTGCTACTACTATTAACATACCTTGTACTGCAAGAAGCTGCTCTTCTGTGGTCCAACGGGCATTGATTTTCTGATTAGACTATTAAAATCAGAAAAATGGCACAAAGATCATTAAAATGTTTCAACAGCTGCAAAATATCTGAGCATCAGAAAGTGTTTAACGTGCACTACATTTTGTAACATGTCTTGCTTATAAGCCATAAATTTATAGTTTAAGATTGCTTTCATATAGAGGAAGTAACATTTAAGGATTGGAGCTTAGGACTACACCAATAGTTTTTTCCTCTGTTTTACTGCAGTTCTTAATATCAGCTATATCATAACTTATGCACAAGCTAATGATCTTTATGCAGACAGAATTTGAATTTATAGTTACATTTATCTAAACTATTAGGACTTGGTGTCTGGAATGTTTTGCATTCACCTTATGTTTCATATGCAAGTCTTTAAAATAAGCAAAAAAAAAAAATAGAGAACTTCAGTTGCAATAAATCATTCACTTTGGATGCCCAAACGTATATATAGTCATGCTTTTACACAGAACATAGAATTTACTGCTAGCAATCTGTATTATCTACTTTTAATCAGAAACCCCCCCCATATATCAGGGCTCAATTTCATCTCCCTATTGTCATGAACAGACACGACATTTCAGTTTTTTCTGCTTCTTTATTCAGCCAGTTGCCATAAAAAAGCCTACCACTAATTTCTTGTAAAGAAGCCAGACTCACCCCTGCATGTAATTCAACGGATCCTGTTTAAGCTGCTGCTGAAATGCAAACACTATGCTGCAGCAAAACACATTTCTGTAGCTTCCCACTAACGTAAGTGCAAGGCCACAAGTTCTAATATTTATTCTGATTTACCTCAGGAGGTTTGAATTCTTCAATCCCGCCTTCCATTTTCTGTTTAAGTGCACTGTTTACTTGCTTAGCATTTTGAACCTTGGTCAAAAACAACAAAGTTAATCAGCTCCACAAAGAAAGTTGGTCACTTTACACATATATCTTCACTAGGATTGCCACAAGTGTACCTCCTAAGTTAGAAAGAGAAATATTACGGTTTAAGGTTTCACTACTTTTAACTGTTTAAAAAAAAAATTAAAAAATACAGCACAGTTTACTATGGAGAGAAAAATATTTAAGCCAGTCTTTCAAAAGAACAGTTTGTCTGCAGGAATATTAAAAGCAGGACATAATAAGCAAGTTTGATAATGTTGCATATGTTCTTGAAGAAGAATGCAGAATATTCTAGACACAAAACTTAGTTCTTAGAAGTCTAAGTGAGATGTATTGTATATATTAACTTCTTCTCCAAAAAGCACTTTGGGGAAAAAAAAAAAAAAAAAAAAGATTTAGATGTTTCCAGTTAGTTCCTTCTGACAGGCTGCTTTTTCTTGACCTTAGATCATCATGATTTCATTTAAGGGTGATTCTTGAAATTATTTAAAATGTTTCAATAAAATATCTTAGTCTATAAAAAAGGAGAGAGCTTCCAAATTGTACATATACATATCTATTAACCATTTAAACCTGACAATGATGCACATAAGGTAACACAGGTAAGAAAATAGTGTTGCATACTACGGTGCACAGCTATTACAAGTGTTCTTAAGTATGGACACAAAAGCAGACAACTCAGTGGGAGATTCCAAAGGCTGCATCTCCGAGATCACTGCAAGAAAAAAAGAGAAACACAACCTCAAGGCTGTAACTCACCTACACTTAGGCTAAAGAGCGAAACCCACCTATGCTATTTAGCCCCAGAGTCCTGCTGTGACAGAAAGAAGCATATTTCTCCTGTAAAAGAATACAAGGGAGCAAAATCCCATGAAACGCTTTTTTCACTCCATGATTTTGCAACGTGGCTGTTCTTAGCGGTCTATAAGGATGCAGAAATTCCAGGAGATAAGCCTTGACTTTGTAGCCCCATCGCTCCTAGAAAGCAAGCATGCACATACTGCTGTACCCTTAGAAGCTGCGTTTCAACTTTAAATGCGAAAAATTAACATCTTCATGTGAAGGATGCAGACAATTGTCCTCTTAAAGGTAAAGACTACAAAGCTTTTCTAAATTTAATAAGTAGAAAGCTCATCAATTCAAACAGAGAAATAACTAGGCCCATGTTTCCTCCCACCTCCCCTACTTTCATGGTAGGTGGGGAAGCACATCCAGAAAAGCAGCTACAATTAAGAATCACAAATGCAACTGCCTCAGCTTCACTTGTCTTATTCTCATTTGTCACACAAATACTTTTAACAAAGTTGAAAAAAAAAATCAAATGTGACTTTGGTTTTTTCCTGTTCCCACATCTGTAACATTGTTTTCATGCCATACTCCCCCTTCCACCCCCCCTCCTTTTTTTTTTTTAAAGGAAGTCATCTTGTTTCATGTTATCCACAAGAGCACAGGAACATAGAAAACAAAACCGAAGAATAGCTAGTCAGCTAGTGTCCAACATTTCTGGTGATAACTGTGGAACAAAATTAGTAAGACTCACATTAAAGATGTTTCAGAATCTTCACAGATAATCTTCAAAATAATTACAATCAGAACAATCTGAGATGAAAACAAAACAAGACCAATAACCCATGGTACCTGTCGCTTTAACGAGATTAGTTCCATATCCAGCTGTCTAAGAATTGTGTTGGCTGCATTGGGACTACAGGAAACAGCTATCACATCTTCCTGGGTCAGGTACATGCCTTTTGGTGGACGACATTTGGAACGCTGAGAATGGTGCCGATGCTGCAAGCTCTGATACTCTCTTCTACCCAGACCTATTTTGCTGGTCTGAACAGGCTGCTCATTATTGCCCTTTAATTTACAAGAAATAAATCATTAAAGAATAACCGTATCTTGTATACAACTTTATTGTTTAATAAAGTATCACATAGCATTGTAATGTCATATTCATGACAAAGAAAACCTAAGCTAACATCCTCCTCTGCATGCAGTATCCAAACTAAGTCTTGCAGATGAGCTGATGGAGCATACCATTTGCTGGATAAGCCTGCATTAGTCTGAGAAAAGTCACTTTCCAAAACTTTTTTTTTTTTTTAACATCGCTGAAAATACAATAAATTGTATAGAAATCAGTCTGAATACTGTCAAAGAGGGAAAAAAAAAATCAAGAACCTCTTGTGTATGCAGAAGGTAAAGAATATATATATATTACATGTTTAAACCAAGTAATCAGTGAATTTACACGTTTATTTCTGGTAAGATATGAAAAGTTCAGGTGAAGATCAGGGGAGAAGAATGAGATAAAGTCAAGCAGGATAGGCAAGAACGCAAGATGACACTTTTCCCTGCTGCAAGTATTCTATGGAAAGCAAGTGCTGTTCGCTTTGGGAGGGGATTTGAGATTTGGAAGACAGAGGATGGATGTGCTTTTGCAGTCATTACAAAAATTCCATGTAATTTAGCAAACTTAAACCTTTGTTGTTTGCTTTTTTGAAGTGGAAAGGGATAGCAAAGGGGAGATGAAGTCTTTGTAACTGCTGTTTTGATACGTTCAGACACCTAAAAATTTCAGCTTTGTCTTCAATGAGCACTGTTGCAGAACAGCTAGTCTGCATGTATGTGACTCCTGTAGAGCAACTGGGTAGGTTCCCTACAGACCAGGAGTAGAGAAGCAAAAATTACTTTCCCTGCAAGGATTTTCCAATTCAAAGCAATGCTTAGCACCAGAACAGAGATGGGATTCAGGCTTTTTGCTACTTGAAGCAGCTCCCTACTGCTCCTCCCTGCTGGCATCCAGGCAGGTTAAGAGGAGGTGGTCATCTGATCACAGTGAAGAGAAAACAAATTGCAGCAGCCATTATTATTATGTTCTGTAGTGTTAGTACAGATCAGCAGAGTATTTTGCCCTACTATGCTTGACCTTCTGCCACATCCTCTTCCCAGCTAATGTAACATCTTAATCCAGTGCACAGACTTCATAGAGGCCATCTTAAAAACACTTAAGATACTTGCTCTTCCTTGGAAAATTTATATAGAGCCTTACATCTTTGACATCTAAAAATCCCAAGGTTAATTTAACTTCTGGCCCATTTATACAATTTGTATTTTGAGTCTGCATTGCTCTTTCAGTATAAATTTGCAGTTCCTGTCTGTACAATCTGGATTTAAAGTGAAAATATTCTCTCGATCTAGAATGTTTGGTTTGTTTTAGTTTTCTCTGGTAACAGAAAGTTTCTATTGCTCTGTGCATTCAAGTAGCCTACTCAGTTTATATTTTGCTTAGGAAGTGAAAGTACACAAATCCTACCAGAAATACTAGATCACAAAATTATCTTACGTAGATGCAAATAGCTCAAACTGCAAACCTATTTGTCCTGTTCCTAGACATCCATGAACACACTACTTTCATTCTGGACTGTGTGTACCGATTCAAACAATAACCAAATAAAGTAAATTGAACAAAATAGCCCTTATTTAGAAGTGGCTTAGGCAGCAACTCAGATCAACAGACTGCAAGAACATTGTTACAACAGCAGAATGAAAAGTAAAACGGTTCATTATTAGACCTTGTGCCATTTCAAGTTCTAAAAACATATCCTGGCATGTTAAAATAAATCTCAAACCCTTTTACGGAAAGGGGCAATTGTCCTTTTTTCCCCCTGAGGCAGGCAGATAAAGCGATACATTGAAGGTCACTGCAAAGCTGAGAATGGAATCTAAACCTATCGCTTTTGGTAGAACTGCAAAGTTTTAATAATAATCCGAGATATCACTTCATGGGAATGCTGAGGTTTTACACTACCTCTCCTCTCATTCTCAAGAAGCATGAACTGTCCCATTTTAGGAAAATCACAAATGGAGTAAGTTGATCAAAGTAACAATCAAACGTTTACAAACTTAACTGTGTTTTTCTAGTCTTGTTCATAAATGACTTAGTTTACCAAAAGAACTCCCCAAACCCCCAAACCATACCCCAAGCACTGTTAGCTTTACAGATAAGTGCTCTAAGTGTTCAGAAGGAGACAAAAATGTTTTTCCCTACATTTATTAGTAGAAAGCGTCTCAATAAAGCCACGTATTAGTTGAAATGCATAACCTCACTGTGGCTTTGAAAGAACAAAAAAGAAGTTATTCTTGGAAAATTGTTATTTAATTTTAAAGTGCAAAGAAAACATTTAGATTCCAATAATTTACAACCAGTAAAACTGTAAACATATTAACAAGACAGAGGTGGGAAAATGTTGTTTTACCACATACTAATAGCATACATCTCTTCTAAAACTTGAAGATCTCTCAAGAGGTAGTGAAGGTAATGAAAGATGCATTTATGCCCACAGAACGGCAAAAATACATGATTAAATATTGTTCAATCAGAAGTTGTCGAGATCTTGATCACCCAGAATTCCTGTGATTTCAGCAGGCTGCAAGGTAAACTCCTTTACTACAAGTCATATTCTTCACAGTAACACATTCACAGAAAAACCGACATTCACCATTACGCTATCTGTTACCTCCTTTTTGGCTTCTTTTTTGGGATCATAATCACTATCATTTCCATCCATTGGATGAGCTTCTTCTACGTCATCATCACTAAGGACAGATTATAGGAAGCTGGTCATTTTATCTATTTTTCTGTAATTGTTTCAGCTATAAGGTCACTAAGTAAGCATAAGGATTTTACATTTCAGGAGCTCTTTTCAATAACATATAATTAAATAGACCCTTTTGCTCTAGCTAGGCAGTTTTCCGTAGATGTAAAATTGTACTTTCCAATATAAACGTGATTATATTACTTATACATTCAACATATTAAATTAGTTTTTAAAAAGTGCAAGTTAATACTCAAGTATACTAAGTGCAATATAATTTTATTTTCATAGTAACTAGGGGAAACGTCATTCCCTTCTATCCAAGACAATGTAAAACTATTTTGAGCTCTAATTCTCTTTGACTGATAGCAGTTCTAAGTCTCCTAAAATAAGACTTTATATAAAGTTTTGTTATAAAGCAGTAGTTGGGCATTCTAATTGCTACAGCTCTTTACAGTGGTTAATCTTTCAGTTTTAATTCCATTCCAGTTCAAAGAAACCCAAACAAAAAAAAACCCAGAAACCCCACACACCTACAAAAACACTCTCCTCCCCACACAATAGTATAGGGTTAGACTTCTCAAATAAATCATAATTTCTAAACTGCATTCCCAGACTTCACACTTTTTTTAAACCCTTGTTTTTACAGTTATCCATTAAATAACACTCTTGAATGCTTACAACTCACACCAACTGGAGTAATATAGGTCTTAACACACAGGTACCAAACCCTCTGCTAAAAGCAGAGACATCACCACAGATGCTCAAACCTAAAAACACAGTTCACACTGAAACATAATGGCTAGAAATTACTCTGACACCTCTACCAAGAAAGACTTGGGTCTCTGGTTAGAGAGAGAATAAGAATATAAAACTTACCTGTCACCTTGATTATTTCTATTAGCTAGTTTTCGAGCCTGTCGATCCATCAAACTTGTCCTAGAGCGAGTTTTTTTCCAAGAATAGTAATATTTTACAAGGCTTGCAATAGTCTTGTCTGGAAGCTAGAAGAATTCATTAACATATTAATACTTTTTAAAATTAAAATTCCACTCAAGATTATAATTCTGCTCTATTTACAACCACCTTTACCCAAATATATTAAATGCATGGATGAGATGGAAAAATATATATTTCATATATATTTTTAAAAAAGGGGGAAGGGGCTTTTTTATTAGTGTGAAAAAGCTATAGGTCCAAGAGACACGATGATATTAACTTAAATCTTATATTCAAGGTTGTTTCTGAAGTTTTTACACAGAAATCAACACGAAAGTTTAGCTTATCAGGAGCCTTTGTTCTTAGTGCACCTGAACTGTTTAATGCTTTTGATTAAAATATTACTTTACCATTTGCTGGATCCTGTGAAAGCTCTTTCCATGGAAGCTAAATGCTTGTTCAAATAGGACTTTATCTTCAACTGTCCATTCATCAGGGAAAGGAGTGAAGTTAGGGAGATCCGCAAGGGACTTCTCAATATTGTGTTTATGCCAGAACAACATGCCGAGAGCCTTTGAAAAGAAATAGACCCTTTTTGGATTTAGTCAACTTTCTAAACTGTTAGGACAAGTTAAATTAAAAAAAAAAAAGTAATTTATTTATTTAAAATAAAATTTGACTATCAGAACCCCTTCTCAAAACGTATTTACAATTTTATTGGCCATGTACTATAGGTTACAAAATTCTCTTCAGAGACAAAATGAAGAGTGGGCACATTTGTACTTTATTAAAGGTATGAAAGCTAGACAATTACGGTTGGCATGGCAGCAGTAATTCTGAAGTAGCATGAACTAGGCTGACAGGCTCAAATCTGACCTGCTTTCTTCCTTTACAAGCATGTATCACCTACACAGTTCCTTATAGGTCTTCAGGCCTTTATTACCAGCCCACTCAAAAAAGAAAATAAAAATACTTTTCAGCAGCCAGAGGATCATCCAAAATGCAAGTCTGAAAGTTCAAAGTGAGAGAGGTCTTTCTACAACTCTCCAATCCACAAATAACAGCACGGTCACTTCCATGTCACGTGCACCTAATAAGGAATGGAAATTTAAATATGTTTTCTTACATAATTTCATTTCTCAATATTCCTAAAGAATTTTATGCTGATTAGACTTTCTGCCAGAGAATCAATGACAGATTTGATGCCAAGTCTGGCATGGCAATTGGAAAACGCAATGCACTCGGTTTCAACCAGACAGTGCAGACATGATCACCAGTTGTTCATCAGCTCTCCAAACCCCTGATTTCACATCCTCTAATAACCTGAACATAGCAAACCTCTCTTCTTGTTGAAATGACAAGTGACAAGCACCTCTTGCAAAGATAATTTCTATTCCACTGTGAACAGTCTACAAATATTTTGTACCAGAAGTTGTTTTGAAAATTAGCCTGTTTTGTAGACTTATTTTGAGATGTCTCAGTTCCCTCTCTCCCCTAACAAAAGCCAAGCCATAAACAAACATCACCAAACTGCAAGTATTCTGAACATCGTAACATTGACAGCTTCTTTTTCAGATAGCAGTTGACTAGCAAGTCTTTGCTGTTATGAGCTTCCATCCTCTAAAACTTGATCATACAACTTGTTTCCACTTGTACCCTAAATATTTTCTGCAATAGGTAATCTCACTTTTACACAAATTGGTTATTAATTTAGGAAGAAACTTGCAATAGAACTAAGTGCAGACCATCAAAGTTTTATCCTGTACTTTTTACAGGATGGTGGTTATTTAAAAAAAGTTAACTTGTTTGCTACTGTCAAACCCAGAATTTGATTCTGTTTTCCTGCCTCTGAAAAAAATCACTCTCTTAGAAATTGGTTTGCCTTTTTTTTTTTAATATGCAAGAAACATTTTCAGTGCTGTCCCTATCGCAATTAATGGTTCAACATTGTACTATATTTGAATTCTAATATTAAACATCAAATTTGTAAGCTGCTTTCCTAAGAAATTCTTTAGCTAAATATACACACACAATTGCATGACATGCCCAGTGTATCAAGAAACATACCAAACCTTTCAAAAGTGCACATTACAAGCTGAGCATGTCATGAAAACAAAGAGCTCAATCTTTTGCAGAGAATCCAGACCACAACTGTATGCAGATCCATTTAACTGCAGTGTTTGCTGCCGTGCCTGAAGAGAAACAGCGTTAATTAATGGTAACCAAGGGAAGAAAAAAAAGAGTTGTGTTATACTTTTATATAAAAAAAAATCCTTTAAATGAGCACTCTCATTTCATAGCACTTACCTGTTCCACATTGTATCCATGTTTTTCCTTTGCTATTGCTATATATTCATCCACTGTAACAAAGCAATTTCAGAATTATTCTTCGGTACTTTTAGTTCTGCTATAAGGTGACACAGAATTAGCCATCTAACATGGGAAACAGTCTTCCCATGCTTTAATACACTGCATAGGCCCAGGTCCCCCCAAAATGTTAAATGTATTCATAGCTTTATTAATAATAAATAAGCCTACCGTCTTTAATCCAACATTTAATTTTATAAACTTTGTACACAAGTTAATTCTCAGTGAAAAAGATGCCTGCTTTCACATTTTTACTACAACAAAGCCACAGAGGCTCATCATTTATTTAAATAAATCAGAGACTAGCTGGTTATTGAAAGGCTATGTCTTCTTGGAACCCAATCCTAAGAACAGAGACACGCTGCGAGGGGGGTGTCTAGACACCTGGGTTAGTTTAAAATTGAACTACTTCTACTGTTTGTATTCCCAAACATGTTAAAAATTAACGTAAAGAGATCCTAGATCAATGATTGTGCATATCCTCGATATTAATATAGTTTTCACTGACCAATGTTAATTTTAACCTGGCATGAAGTCAGTTTTCAATAGAGAATATGAAAATTCAATAATTAGGTCATCAAATTCACCAATAACATATTTTTTAAATTGTATTTGGCCGTACTAGAGCCAGTTTTGAGTTGAACACTTCCCATCATTTTGTAATTAAGTCCTGCTAGCTTTGATCTTCAATGGGTCCTTTTTTTATTGAAACAAACTCTTCCCATTTGCCTTCTACAATTCACAATTAAGTGGCAACTAAATGTAGTTGAAAGGAAACACGATTGAGAAAAGGAAATAATTAAATCCTCATTATTCAAATAAACCAGAGATGTCCTTGCCCTGAACTTTTGCAGCAAAGAGTTAATTGTACTTTAAAGGAATTAAGAAAGTGTTTAATAATCATAGTTGCAGAGTATTTTATTTCAAACTATTCTGCAGTAGTAGAAGGTATGTTCCCTCAAATGCAGAGGGACACAAACCTTTACTGGTAATAAGCCAAAACTGTCCTGAGGACCAGGTTCTCATGACTGCATCCTCAAAGTTTACTCCCCTATGTTAGATATGGGAAATTCTAGCATAGAAGGCAGGTTTAAGCTAGATTAAACAGATAATTGGTCATATTTAGTGAGATGACTCCCATATTTCAGGTCACTTTTGAAGGGAGAAAATACTCAGTTTTTCCTGATAAGATAGCAATAATAATTTCACGTTGAACTGGGCCTCAACACATCTTTTCTGAATTTATCCACCGCAACTCCTTCTCCTAGAAGTTTAGAGCAGCAAGTTCCTCATGTTTAGATGTTTTACTCTTTTATTAATAACTAAAGGTTTCACAAGCACTGATGATCATGCAACACAGGCAGTGTGATTTGAAACAAAGACTTAACTATAAAATGAGAAGGTAATTTTTGCTTTCTCCAGAGTTCTCTAAATAAAAAAAAAAGAGAAGCTTTGTGTTTAATTTACTAATTTGCAATTTCACTCTGTGTAAAATAAAGAGCAAACAGGCACACCAGAAACTGTTATTTAGTTATACTTAAGCATCCTAAGCAGGGAAGGACTTACACTTGGCATCTGGAATATTATGATATGGAGACCATACAAGCATCCCTCCATTATCTTTATCAGTATATTTTGTGGCACCTGTAAGAAAACAAGTAAGTCTCAGTATTTGTAAATATGATCTAGAGAACACCTATTCACAGGGCAGTAAGTAAAAGTCAATCCTATTAAGAAGTCCAGCCCAGCTACTAAGGGGAGGGAAAAAAAATATCATTAATTCTACATTATTTCCTTAAGACATGAAATGGTTGAATTTGAACACTACTCTTATAAGGTTCAATCATAACTGGATATTAGACAGGATACTGGTTACAATTGCAGCATTAAAGCGCATTGCTAAAGTTGATATGGGTGCAAAGTTTAGAAATACTTGTGTTTGAACAGTCCTCCAGAAGTTATGATTGTCCATTAGTATTCTAGGAGTATTAGGATCATAGAATGGTTTGGGTTGGAAGGGACCTTAAAGATCATCTAGTTCCTGCCATGGGCAGGGACACCCTCCACTAGACCAGGTTGCCCAAAGCCCCATCCAGCCTGGCCTTGAACACTTCCAGGGAGGGGGCATCCACAGCTTCTCTGGGCAACCTGTTCCAGAGCCTCACCACCCTCACAGTAAAGAAGTAGTCCTATCACTACAAGCTGTGTTAAGTTAGGCTTCTTTATAAAAAACAACAAAAAAAGAGGTAAGGGGTAGAATACAGTCACCATCTGTGATCCTTTCAACAAGGAATTATACCAGAAACAATTTTGTTCATCTGTCTCTCTCTAGTCTTGATATTCACAGACATGTAATTTTGATATTCATAGCCAAGCAAATTGTGTAGCTGCAGAAAGTAGCTAGGTGTAAAAGTCATCTTTGGTTGGTTGGTTGGTTTTTTTTGGGGGGTGTTGGTGTTTTTTTTTGTTTGTGCTTCACCTCAAGGTAGCAAGGGAAGCAGTCCAGGTTACCTAACCAATCAGGAGGACAGAGCAATTTTTGCAATACTGATGCAACTTTGTACAAAGCACTAAATCATACAGTCTCTGGTTTTTAAAAACACACTGTAAAAGGAAAGGAAATTCCCCAATACTGGAAAAAGCATTAACTAATAGTTACTTTTCATGAATATTTTACAAACATATGCTACTAGATAAAGTCTCTTACAATCTATTTGTTTACCACAGTTTATCTTGCTAAGACATTGCTCAACAATTGGAGTATTTACACTTGTGTCAGTATGAATTCCTTGAGGAATCACCCTCAGAGGAACTTTCCTTGAATCCTTCTTGGAGAAGGATGGATTTTTTTATTCAGTGAAACAAGCAACTTTTCACCCCATTTTAAGCTTCCACACTTTATATTTAGGTTCTACATCTTGTTGAAGGAAACAAAACAAATCAATGCTTTGGAAAAGAACAACTTAGTGCTTTCTAATTACGTACTATGTTTTGCTGCTCTTCCCTCTTTAGTTTGGCAGTGTTTTGTATTTGGTATCATCTTTGCAATCTTTAGATCCATTATGACTGTGAACTTTGAAAACCAGTTAATTAGAAAAACTAAAGAACTCATGTGTCTTACAAAATGAGATGTGTGAGACAGATAACTTGTTACAGCATTTATGGTGCATTTAGGTTAAAAATGTACATACATTCATAAAGCACCACTTTCAAAGCTCTGAAAGGGTGTTTGTTATATTAAGGAATTTGTTCTTATATACCTTCTACTTCAGAGCAAAAAAGCATGCCATTTTTAGTCATTAGGAATGCATTATTTCATTAAGACTAATGCAAACATGTTACAGGCACATTTCTCTTGTCCACTCAGTTTTTATCACACATAAATGACCACTACCCTGTACTCCACTAAGACATGAAGAGAAAACAAGACCACTAGAGAATGCATCAGAATTTCAGGCTGTGAGCAAACAAGGTCTAAACTTAACATGGATATACCCTCAGTTTTTCCTTCCAAAAAAATACCAGACGCCTGCAGACAAGCAGATATAATGGATATTATCAAGTATTGAATATTCAAGTACTAAAGTGAAAAAAAAATGTAGTTTCAGAGTCCTATCATTTGCACCTGCAGGACATCACGTATGCGGTGACGCTCCCCTACCGAGGTGCCACCCTCAGGTGACTAACAAGCAGCTCCCACCAGAACACCCCTTTTCGAAGCAAGG